TGAACCAGTACATTATTCCCTTTGTCCTGGGAAAACTGCTGGACGCGTCTTACCCCTTATGTCTTTCTATTTCAGCCATAGCAAGCACTCCAATGGACATAGGACCTCGAAAACGCCTCTTACCAGCAAGACGGAAAGCAAGCACTTTGCCAGGCGGCACTAACTTTGGCAGCTTGGGTGAATGCAGCTCATCAGAGCCCAAGTCCTCCCCTTCCTATTAGCCCCTCTTTTCTCCTGACTCCCACCCAGAGCCCACCCTTGGCGGCTGGGCTTCTCTCCCCCCTCCCTACCACCTCCCTCCTTTCCCCTTCCCCTTCCCCAGGTACTTGGGCAAGCAGTTACCAAAAGGAGATGTAAAACTTTGGTTTGATAATTGCTTTTTAATGAAAAGCATAATTGCTAGAAGCTTAAAAATGACACCACTAAACAAACTGTCGGAGTTTCAGCTTGTTTTGATGAAGACAGTGAATAACTTTTGTTTTGAAGGTGACATGGAGTGGTCTGTGCAGTACACCAGGACACTCCGAGATCTGCCTGTGTCTGAACACTGGAGTTAACACAGCATCCAGACCAAATGCTACAGGGCCCAAGACTATGTGTTCTCTGTTTTTTATTTTATTTTATTTTTTACACACTGGCTAATCAGTTAGCATCAGTGTAGAGAATCCATCAGGTGAAAAAAACCCAACAGGATCTCAATTTTTTTTTTTCTTTTAGATATGCCCTCCTTTATTTACAACAGTGGCAAAATAACTTCAATCAAAATGAAGTTAAGATTATTTTTAACAGATGTTCACTGCTGGCCTGACCCAAAATCCATTGACGTCAATGAGAAGACTCCATGGGGCTTTGGATTGGGTTCTAATTGTTGGAAAAATTAATGTTATTGTAAACCACTGGTCAGTGCTGTCACATGCTCCCCTTCTGTGCCAATTCTATATGACCGGATAACAGACTCACATAAATCTGTTCCAACTGTTGGCTAAGAGGCTAAAGGACACAGAGGTTTATCTTTTTAATTCTCAAGCACCCCCTGCCCCCTCCAGCACACCCCATGGCACTGCTGTATTTACTTGGCAGACTTAGCATTACGGACAGTATTCATACAATCAAAACATTTCACACGCAAAGACTGGGTGGGAATAATAAAATTATTAATGCTGACTGTGTGAAGACAGCTGAACTACAGATATGTATGAAATGAGATACTTTGGTTCGTATACTTTCAATAAAGACTTTTTTTTTTTTTTTTTAAATACAGACCTGAAGGAAGAGTTGCACTTACTGTTAAGAAGACGGAAGTCTATAAACGGGTAGGAGCCGCGGCGCTCGGAGAGAACCCCTGTCTGACCTCTCACCCGTGCATCTCCTGCAAAACACAAAATCCCCAGAGACGTTAGAAGGGGCAGCTGCCTTTCTCTGCTCTTTAGATCCAGATCTATTTTCTATTCAAAGTGATGACATTATTCTCTTCCAGTGGGAATACTAAGGTCCAAAAAATCATCTCCCATGACACCCCTGGGTAATTGGGTAAAGCAGGACAGCTGATCCTCTTATCAGAACAAAGACACAAAAACCCTTGTGTTTATCCTACTGAACAGTTTCTTGCCCAGTAAGTAGACTCTCGCTGCTTCAGGAGTAGTGCACAGGTCCATTTTTTGCCCAGGCAAGACCAGTTGGATTCTGACTCTCATGGCATCACACACAAAGGTCTCAGCCTTGGACTAGGCTCACAGTCCAACTGACCTTCAAAGCTGTGGGACTGGTCTCAAAATCACGAGTTGATGAAAAAATCCCCAAACAAAATATGAAGATTTTTTTAAGGTTTTTTTTTAATTGTTTTTGATTTATTTTCTGCTCTTTGAGCACTCTGAAAAATTTCAGCCTTCTCTTCAAACACCAAAGCTGCTTTATGTAAGTGAAACCTGATGTTCTCAGACAAGCATCACTTTAAGATACGTACTTAAATATGATAAAGTGACAATACAATAATTAGTATCGCTGTGTAATTCACATTGATTAGTTCCTGACTTACTGTGTAATACTGATGAAATAGGCAAAACTAATTTAAGGAGAAAAATGCTGCTCAGGATGAAGGACAGTTACAAGACCTCTCTCCGAGTAGACAGCAAGTAGTGGGAAGCAGATGTCATTTTTACATTTCCATAACCTTAAATATCTTGTACTGTAATGTAATCATTTATAGGCAAATAACAAGACCAAAATATTAAAAATTCTTAAATAAGATGAAGTTTGGAGATTTTAGAGGTTTGGGTTAGACTACCCTAGTTCTTCCCAATACTAATTCCTCCTCTACAGAAACACAGGCCATAGTGTTGAAAGCATGCCCACTGCACTTCCTCAGACAGCTCACACTGTAGGCCTTTCAAAGTTTGCAATAAAATTATGAATTATTAGTTAGTTTGAATTGTGCTTCCTCTGGGATATGAATATAGCTTCTCACTACTCTAAACAAAAATTATTTAAGAATTTGGCTGATAGTGCTAGCTTCTACTGCTTGTGTTTAAAAACAAGAAAACATCTTGCAGCATAAAAGAAGGACCTAGTTAGATGCTGTTATTTTTTTCTGTCATCTAATGTTTACTTAAAATGTGTTTACAATTACATTTAAGGGAAGAAAGCCAAGTAGAACTATTAACTTAAATATTCGAGGTGGAGAACAACTTCCGTGCCCTCTAGGGGTCCTTAGAGGTACGAAAGACACAGGGGTGTGCACTCAAATTAAGAATATTTCAAACACAGTCACTTTTGATTATGAATATCAATCTATTTTCCCTCATCCTTACTTTCGCTTTGTTTTTTTGTTTCCAGAGACAGAACGCATGTGTTCTGTACTCCGCCCCCGCTTGCCAACTGCTCGCGCTAAGGAACCAGCCCCAAACAACTCAAGTTGTTGTTGACCCCACTTACGCCTCCTGATAGCAGGGGCAGGAGGCGCAAACCTCTGCCTGCTCTTCAGCTGTTGCACTTCAAAGGTATGATAATAGCGTGGGTCTACCTTCGTCAGCAGTTTAAAATCGCGTGCAACTTGTGGCAACGGAGGTATATAAACCTATTCCCCCGCCATCCTCCTGTTAAAGGGCAGAAGGCTGGAGCAAAGAGCTGGATAGTTTGTAAAACATCGAAGGAAGACTCATCACGAGTCAGAACTCATAAGGCAGCACCTGGACTTAAGAGCATTGCTCTCCGCCACAGGTAGACCCAACAGATTGGCTGAATCGTGCAGAAAGAGTAAGGATGGCAAGCATATGGTAGACATTATATAAACCCCCAAAAATCAGACGGCCTTGAGCCTGTCACTAATACAAGCTTCAGCAAATTAAGAACAGGTGTAAATTCAGAGCATGCCTTGATTGAGGCTTTTGTTTTTCTGTACGCGCCAATGAATTAACAGGAAACTGCAAATAATCCCCTGCATTAACACACTGATAAACATGTCACTTCTGACTAAATCAACAGACACTTGGAAAAAAAGAGACATTCAAACTCCAAAATTGGAAAAAAAAACCCAAGACATATGATACTGTAAACCCAGAAAGACTAATTTTCTTTCTGGACATGAAATAATATATCCAGCAGATCAAGACAGGTACCATAGTACTGGAGAATAACAAAATCATACACAGTCACATATCGAAAAAATCGCCTAACTCTGATCTTAATAGTATGACCCCTAACTTTGAGGAAGAGAGAGAACACTAAAGGTAAGTAGGCAACTGCAGCGCAGAAGAAAACACAATGTGGGCTTACCAAAAGTAGACCATCCAAGATAAAATTCGATACTTAAATATAAAATAGCTAACTATTAAGACAAGAGCAAAAAACCCAATATTGTAGGGCATCTCAACCATATGGACTTTGTTGAACACAGAAGAGAAGGCAAGAGATGACTACAAAAACCGAAGTTGGAAAAGACTAAAAGTAAGAAGAGGACAAGGTGCACTGAAAGGAAACTTTTGCTTGGGAACAATTACTGCATGATCTGTAGAAGATTTATATTGGGAATGGTCTTAAAATTTTTTATTGATGATCTCGACACAGAACTAGGAGAACACTAGTGAGACTTGATGATAACACAAAGCTGGGAGATACCATGTATATACAGCCACTGCTATTTTAAATGAAGTTCACTGCTACTGTCACCTTCTCTGCCCCAAGTGCTCTGTGGCCCAGCTACCTGCAGCTTCCACTTTCTTTTTATTGGTAGTCCAGCTTCCTGTCATGGTACTGCTGACGTCTCCTACAGAATTAAAGACTAGCCAACTCAGGCACGTATGTACACGATTCAGGCAAGGTAACTCCAGTAAAGAGAGAGAAAGCAAGGGAAGTATAGATGCCATTAGTCAAAGCACTTGGTGTAAGTTTATCTGAAATACTATCTCTGAGAAAGCTGAATTCCTCCTGGAAAAGGTGGAGAGATGGACCTCTAGGAAGATGATCAACGCACTGAAGAGCCATTTCGTAAAAGGAAAATCATCCTGGAGTAATGCCCACCGTTGATAAGGAGCAGAATGGGAAAAGAACCATTTAGGCAATCAAAGAGTATGATTCTGAAGGAGGAGATGAAAACAATGGAAGCAGCTGATGGCATGGGCTTTATACACACTGAAAGATGACCTGAAATAGTTAAGGACTATGCATGATGACTGATACACTTGCTACCAGCTCTATGTTCTTCAAACTAAGGAAATGTGAATGAGTTTTACTTAACCAGCAAAGCCGAGGACCTGAAGTCATGGAAAGTTACTGATGATTACAATTGGCTATTTGTGTCATCTTACATTGTTTGCAGATAGTAAAAGTTGAGGCTGTTTCTAGCACTACAGGAACCTATACGTAGAATAAATTGGCATCCCCGCTGACTTAGTAAAAGCCACTAAAATCCTTATATTCAAGGATTATTAACTTTACCCTCAGGGAAGGCAAGTTTCTGATGAGTCAAAGATGTTATCAAGTAGCTCTACCTCATGAAGCAGTTATTTCAAAACACTTCGCCAGGTGCCACCCAGTCTCTTTCTACATCATTAGAGAAAGATTAGTTAGGAAGTGGTGGTGGGCTAAATCAACCACACCTGCCTTCCTCCATTTTTCCCTGGCTCACTTACTTGGAAAACATTTAATATTCTTCCCTATTACTTTTAATTACCTCTAAGTACCCTCAACAGAGATACTGAACATAGGGATTGCACTAGATGTACACCATACCACATGACTTTTAATTTCTGAGAGGCAACGGCCATTCATGGCAACACACCAGACTTTGTCGCTTTGACAGAGGACTTGGAGGGCAACTTTCATCAGTCCCCTAGACCTCTACATCTCTTTGCCCTCCACCTTAAAATCAAGCTAAACAATTGTTCTGACAATTTATGCAATTAGCAATTTTACATAAATAATCCTTTTTGGAGCAAAAGGAAGGATTCTGTGGAAACAGGGCAGGAAATTTTGACAGCTCATTGTGTTCCCAAGTGAAACAAGCAGGGTGAAGGGAAACGGCAAGGGTATAGGTTCTCCCTGGCTACTTTGGGCTGAAGATGCAAGGCTGGAAGATTTGCAGCCGCAAACTCAACGGGCTGCACCCTCGCCAGAGCCAAGCTGCCATGAGAGCTTCCAGTGGGGACATCTCCCACGGGCCACCATGCTCTTGAATTTTACTTTGTCCTTGTTAAAACAGACAAGAAAACTAACTAAACAAACCAAAGCAACCTACGTTAGGTAACAGGAGCCTGCATGGTGTGTGACTGACATACATGGCAGCTTATAGTCACAGGAAAATCAGATACGGGGTGAGAACCAGGGTACTACTGCGGCCATAGCATCAGCGTGATTTCAAGACGGGCAGAAGGGTTAAGAAAAAAATGAGGCAGCTCTGAGCTGCCTGTCACATCTGGAGGAAAGAGCCATCTGCACCAAGGAAAACAACTTCTCCAAGACTTGCCTGAAATGACGTGGGATTCAATTTCACTGACCAAGCACAACAAATTAGGAGAGAAAACAGGGCCATAGCTGTGACAAAACAACAGAGCAGCTTCATGCAGCAGAAGTTAGGACCAGCCACCAAATTACTGATTTTATTTAGTACACAGCGCCGTGTGGTAAGTCAGGAATACCACAGCAAATTCACAAGAGGTTACAAGTATTTATTCTAGTCAAGCTTTTCTACAGTTTTCATCCAAATATTTCTTAAGCTGACTGTTTTAGGACACATACTGCAGTGGCTGAGTACTTTCCATGGAAAACTGAGTGGCAGTAGGAAGGCCTCTCGTGGACTCCACGGAGTCCCTGGCTCCTTTGCTATTTCAGTTATGAAAAGGCTTGGGATTTCTGAGACAAAGGAAGGTGAGTTGT